TTTACACTGTCATTCCTAATGGCGACGACTGTATCGGCGTATCATGTCAGCGACCATTTCCCGTACATAAATTCATTCAGAACTGTAACATGTCAAATGTCAAAGATGGATAACCAAGACTGTCAAAATACTATGAACATCAAATACACATTTAAGTCAACAGTACTAGCTGATTTCTTCACTGGAGAGCAGGGATGGCACAATGGCGAGAGCACTCGCCTCCCCCTACTGTGGCCCGGGTTCGATTCCTGGACTTGGCGTCAGACGTGGATTGAGTTTGTTGTTGGTTCTCGTCCTTGCTCCGAGGGTTTTTCTCCGGTCCTCCGGTTTCCCTCGCTCCACAAAAGCCAACATTCCAAATTCCAATTCAGTCTGGAAACAGTGGACAAGAAGAACCCAGTGGAATGTCCCTTGCTAAATTATTTATTAATTTATTCACTACATTGTACAACGTGGCAACCAAGTCTAAGTTGAGAATGAAGCTCATTTGATATACTCATTTATTGTATGCCATATCTACCACCACTGAACACGGTAATTATTTAATAACATAATATGTAACTGTGCATTATAGCACCATAAACTGTATCACACCTATACGTGAAGCATGCAGTTTTTTATCCTCTCAGCCTTGGTCGGTAAGCAGAATATGTGTGATACATTATTTTGTGTACAGATAAAGGCACATATTAAATTTTCTTGCTTTAATCAACGCTTTAACACTGAGTCAATGTAAATACATCTGGACATTGATAAACAACTTGGATACTTAACACACAAACATCCTGAAATGGTTAACTGAAGAAATGTGACATCACCGTGTTTTAAACTGTATTGTGGACATGTACAATTTCATGATAAAAAATACATGACAGCAACATTCAAAAACTTACATGAACGTGTTTGAAATTATTTTTCGTAACAAAAATCATGTAGTCAGATATAGCTGTAAGAAATAAGTCACACGAATGAACATTACAATTGCATATCTGAAATACACCTTCGTTAAAAATTATTAACATGTGGGTAAAAAAGGCCCAGCTTATGAAGGGCTCTTGCAGGGATGATGTAAACAGACAGTGAGGAGAAAGACGCGCAGTGCGGGAACAGCTGGGAAAGGGGAGATGAGACCCTATTAACAAAGCATGGAAGATGCCCTTCTACCCCCTTGTAATTAATCATTAATCTTTCAGCATTATGTCATAAACTCCATGTGCATGCATTGCAATCTAAATAAATCGTCCGTGAAACTGATAGTTTGCAGGTACTACCAAAATCACTATACTGTAAGGACCTGTCAAAATGCGATCGTTTGCATTTGAATTTTCAGTTTGCCCATGTGACTACGTTAAGGAGCTACTTTTACTCATGCGACTTTCCCTTCTCTTAGCAAGGCAACAACAAAGGTTAAAAACTGAATTACAGTAATGAATGCTCAATGATAAAGTTTCCAACCGCTCTCAGTGACGCCTGTCTCTTCTTTCATTTCCCACACCCTCACATCCTTGTTACAATTAATTTTGATATTATTGTAATATTGGTCTACCATGCCTGACTCCAGCAGTGGGGTTGGCGACAACTCCCAAAAGGAAACTATACTTGCAGGCTCTGGCCAGAAGGGGTGCCATTTTTTAGCAAAGAGCTTGTACGAAAGGGTAGGGAATTTTGCATATTAGATAATAGAAAAGGGTAGGGAAAACTACCCTAACAAAACCGCATTTCAAGTCGGTCCCTTATTAGTTGGAAAATAGATGAAGCGGTAACTCCAAGGAGCCTTTGATTATATTTTCTAACACTTAACAAAATGGACTACCAATAGATCCCGTAGGATTTAGGGTTAACAATTACGAGTTTAATTACGGGAAGATCCTCCACAAACTAAAGAATTTTTTAGCGAGTAGATGAAAAAGAAAACAGGGGTTATTCAAATTATAGAGAAAGGCTTTACCGAAACATTTTTAATTATGCAATGGTTTTAAGTTAAAGCTTCCAAGCGAATTTTGAAACATTATCTAGTAAGTATCTGTCACGATCTGACACCTGTCAATTGGAGAGGAAGAAAATCGCGTGTACTCTTTGGAATTAACAACAGTACTGGTATGAAAAAAAAGCAAGAGTTAAATAACCATAGCGACGATCCTCTCTTGAAAACACTCCGAGATCTTACGGAAAGCATTTTTCATTCCTTCTGTTCATTTTTAAAGGTAACGGAAAGTCAAACTTTGAGTGAATGTTAATGTGTGTTCTGTAGTTGTCTGGCAAAGTCTGCTTGTTTGTTTTCTACAATGGCGTGCACAAATCTTGTCTTTATTCCACTGAAGTAAAATGAAACAGTTTTTTTAGCTAAGGAATTCGATGAGTTCTTACTCATCGAATTCTTTAGGTTTCTGTTGTAAAATTAACGGTAGAAATGCCCAAATTCAATGGAATTGCAAAGAATAAGTGAAAGGGAATTTATAAAAAATTCTCAAAACTGCGCTCAACGTTTCAGAAATCACCAAATTGTTTTGGAAAATTCAGACTATGAAATGGATGAGTGACATTAGCAACGTAATTGTTAATGTAAGTGTTAACAGATTGCTCTCATTTTAACTTTCTGAGCTACTTTTTGTGAGGGTATTAAATAACAAATGGTTCTTGGGCCGCGTTTCAATGATTTTAAAAACAAATTTAGTATCACAAAATTATTCCGAGTTCACTCTTTGCGGAAAAACCACAGAGATTTGGGAGGGAGAGAGAGAGAGAGAGCGAGAGAGAGAGAGAGAGAGAGAGAGAGAGTTAGATTGCTGTGCGTATTTGCTACCATAAGTGCGTATTCGCTACTGTAGCAAATACGCAAAGTGCGTATTTGCTACTACAAATGCGTATTTGCTACCGTAGTAAATACTCACAATGAGTATTTACTACCACAATGACTATTTTCTACCGTAGGAAATATTAATAGGGAGAGAGGGAGAGGGAGGGAGAGTGAGAGAGAAGGGGGGAGGGGAGAGCGAGAGAGCGAGAGAAGAGACAATCAAAGTTTTTTGTTGGTTAAAGGTCGTGGCCAAAGTCTTTGCTTAAAAATGCTACCCGACCGGCAAATAATATATATCTATGAAAAATTGCAACAAGGCTAAAGATGTTCTGCAAAGCGACTAAACACGAAACGAATACCGCCTGCTGAGAGCGGGCCAGATGGGAGAATACTGCCCGCTCATATGAAACGAGATATCGCTGCCGCCCAACGATATCTCTTTTACATTGAGGGATATATCTCTACTGCTTAATTAGCGATATGTCGTTTTCGGTCAGCGAGATATCGGCAACAGTAAGTGCAATAACGGCGAGGCAACACTGCGTTCTTCGTCAAATTTTCCATCCCGCTTATACTGTCTATATCGTAAGAAAAGTGTCTGTTTTCCATTAGAACGTTTGTTAAACGTAAAATAAAATTTTGTGAAGACAGGGTAGTTAGCAGACCCTAAGCACATGTGTAGAAAATGGACTTTCGAGGGTTTATGAAAGGCACGTACGACAAGTCATCTCTCAAAGAAGCATATGTTTGGGGAGTCTAATGAGTCATCGCCGGTTTCACTGGACGTTCGCTACACCTTGGCTGCAACCATGTCGAGTTCGCTACATCTGGTATCCAGTGATGTAACGAACACGATGTTCAAGGTAGCGAACAAGTTACGAACTCGAACGTAGTGAACTCAAAACGTAGCCAAAGCATGGCTAGCAGTTACTATCACACACGAGTGAAAAGGTAGATCGAATGAAGATGCAGCAAGAGTTCGAATCTTTCTTTTTTAGCGATAACCACTCGTTTCATAGTTAATTTTAACTGAATTTATTAAGTGAGTTAAATTTGCCATCGTAAAGGGTCTCTAAGCCGGCGTTTCGAACGTTAGCCCTTCGTCAGAGCAAAGGACAAAGGGCTAACGCCCGAATCACCTGCTTAACAACTCTTTACGGTGGTCAATTTACATATCATCAAATTATTAATAAAAACCAAGCTATCTCGTTATGCTCCCCCATCGACGCAGCATCATAGTTACTTTAAAAACTTATTCCCTGTATTCGTACTCAAGTTTGTTTCGTATCCAGTCAATTTGTTGATTTTTTGTTTGCGACCACCGAAGATAAGGCCTCTTCAACCGAAAACAATGGATATGGGAGATAAATGAAAACTAAATATTTCCAGCAGATTTATATGTGTTCATTTTCCACCCTAGTTTAAAGCAACAACAAATTTCAATTCAGCACTTAATTTCCTATCAGTGGCTTAATTATAATGTCTTTGATGAGTGCATAAATAGTTACTTTACCAGAAGAAATTTAGCCGCTTATCCAAATAACGACCATACCACATCAAAATAAAACAGCCGGTAAGTTTCACAAAGTTGTTTAAAGATTAACAGAGTACCTTACACTACCCTTTAAGACAACTGCAATAACATTATAATGGCAAGCATTGAAAAAATAAATGGAATATTTGCTGGCAAATATAGTTTTTATGTTTTTCACGGCTGGTGTACTTCCTGTTTCTCTTTAAGCGGTTACGTAATACATTACAACTTGACATGGTCACGTGACTGGGGGCTCACAGTAGTTCATTTTACCGCATGTTATTGGCTTAGTGACCTGGCATCTAGCAAGCGTCATTCTTCGCTAACCTTCTTCAAGCCTACACGTGTTCGAACTTCCCGCCGCCTCCCCATTCGCCTGTCCATGTTTTCATTTCGTTTGATATCGTGTCACGGGCGATTAATTTGCCCTCACCTTCACTGGGCAGTAGTCACTGTTCTCTTTGTCAGAATTTGCAACAATTTCTTGTAATTCAATTTATTGTATCTTGATTAAAACACGGCTGTAGGTAAAGGCCTGCAGCCATTTTACTCCAACTTTTGCTTGTTTCGTTTGTCTCCCTGCCCAGTAAACGTAGCTCGGAAAATGCAGTTTAGACGTGATTTAATATTATTTAGTTAGTGGAAAACATAAATATATTTCAAACTCACTTGGCTTTTGTCTCACTCCAAATACCTCTGTTCTCATACACACTCCACCCTGATTTGTTTTTGGCAGGAATCGCACATATCTTGTTAATACTCCATAAACAACATGCTTCACTTCTGAATCCCTGTCATCATTTCCTCTGAGAAACTTGAAAAAAATAACAGTCACATCTCATCATTAATTTTTTTATAGTGTAATTACCGTAAAGATTAACAACTCTTAGGACAAGAATTCAATGTCATTTTAGCTGTAGAATATTCTATGCTGTTAGACTTTCTAGTCCATGTTTTTTAATTTATAAATGTAGGCTGGAATGTTATTTTCGCAGTTTTGTCTCACACCGTATTCCCTGTATACCTTAGCTTGGCCACCTTCCTTGTAGTCTGTCCAAGTTGTCCCATTCATGGAAAATTGTAGTGTGTAGTTCTTCACCCACTGATTTGCTTCAGAATTCCCTTGAGTGGACACAGCACAGATGATATGAAGTGTTTGTAGATCAATCTGTAGATATGGGTCAGTGTAACTTGTTCCTGCACACCATGATGATCCTAATGTGTAATTTAATCTACCATTCTTAGCTGGTGTGCTGGAACTTTGATCAGAAGAGGTAGTTATATCACTATTTGGAATTGCTCCGCTTCCCATTCCAAGATCTAAATCAACACAAGCTCCTATATTTAGAAACAAAATTTACATTTGCATTACAACATAGTCATAATAATTATTGTAAAAGGATAGTGGTTGGCCTCCTTATGAGATGCGTCTATTAGCATGGCCATGTCGCAGATAATAACTATTGGGGCTGATCTCAGCCTCTCAAATTATTTATCGAGTTAATTACAAATTAGGAAGAAATCTCAATCTAATCAAAACTGCAGCATAAAACTACATTTGGTGTCATTTCTGAAGGTATCTATCGTAATTCGCACGGTATTTTAATTCACTGAAAAATTTCCTTATATGCTTTTGAACCTTTTGTTAGAGGCAAATGAAAAGGACAATTAAGAACATTTGTGAACATTCAGTCAGTCAACCATGTTAAAAAATGGTTGTGTTTTTCGTTGGATGGTGGTTACTTTAAAGTCCCAAAAATCAGCAAAAAGACAATTAAACTCTAAAGCACTTCACGTATGCGTGCAGATCCAGAACTTTTAATACGCACAAGATATTCAAGTGTTCACGATTGTTCTGAATTGTTTTTCTGATAAGCATTTAGTGCGTGTCCAAACATGTCTCAACTCATGAGAATATTAAGGCTCGTTTTAACGGTTTCGACTCTTGAATCTAGGTGCATTCAACACTTTGTTGAACCAAATGTTCGGTGCGTTTGAACAGGTCGTCCAACATTGTTAAAAACGTAAAAAATGTTGAAAGCTTATTGAAGCGTGTTAAATCAGGTTTAATTTAGATCGGTTTAAACTTTCATTCAACATCGATTCAACTTTTCCTTTGTAAGGCCTTTAAGGCCTTTGAAAGGTCTCCGCACAACTTTGTTTTTGCGCCCAACATTTTCCCAACATCCGTTCAGCTTTTGTTGAACGAAGGTTGGTCAAATGTTGAAACCCATAAGCGGACTTTGAGACGCACTATAGAATGTACTCTAATGGTTTCAGGCTCTCTGTCTGTTGCTGAATAATTTAAACTGACTTTCGTTACCTTTCCTAAATAAGTTAGTTATAAAAGCATACAGGGTTTAGTCCTTCCCGTTCGTTTTAGGATGATCTTTACAAAATGAAAAATAAAAAAAATGCAAAACCCAGCGCAATTCTCTTATCTTTTTGGTGCTGATGCTATGTGTATTGGCGATGAGGTTGCTACGGTGCAAGAAAGATTAAAAGCCCGAAAGATATCTCCAACCAATTTCGCTTAATGTAGAAATTTAAAAGAAATAAACCTTTCGAGTAGATTTCACATGTTAGTGAGCTCACCTGAAGACAGGGGAAGAAGTACTGCGAGAAAAGCTACCCAGAGACAAAGCTCGAGATGAAATTGTGCCAT